ACCAAATATAATTGAAGATACATTTTTACAAAAGCCTTTAAACAGACTGAATTATTCTCCCAACTGGGTACCCAGCCTGCTTAGAGAAACAAAGAATCAGAGGAAAGTTGGCAGTATCACTCTAGCTCTCAACCTGAATTTTTAATGGATTAAAATGTCAAACAGGCTGTTTCTATAAATAAAGTTCTATTGGAACACAGTCATGCCTGTTCATATTGTCCATGGCTATTTTTTTTCTGCAGAATTTGAGTAGTTTTCAACAGAGACCATATGGCCTGCAAAGCTTAAAATGCTCAATTTAGGTCATTTACGGAAAACATCCCATCCACCAATCTCTAGATTCCATATGGACTCCCCTTAATTGATTTCATATTCATAATCTTCTAAATACAATTCGGTGATCTTATCAGTTCTACAGAGAGAGGACATGCCAGTCAGGTTGTTCTAGACTCAGTAGCTTGGCAGATACATATTTTATTGTGAATTAATCAGATGGCATGCTGAATCGTTTCTTGCCAGCTTGATTAATGAGTCCTTTACTAAGAACTTGATTTAGTATCATTTACTGCCTACCTCTAGTTAATTATCGCATTCAAGAGACTGCAAAGTGTGGTGGCTTTTTAACATGCCACATTCCAAAAGACCACATCGAGGTGACTGGGTGACTATGGTCTCTCCAGTCCTTGACCAGTGTTACCATCAGTGCAAAGAAAGCTAACAACTTTCATCATGGAAGTTAGCTGAGGTACATAAAGACTTGGAATCAGAATGCTTAAATTTGATTCCATCCATACACCATTTAACCTGTGAACAAGTCATTCAGCCTGCTAATATTTTTTTTATTGTTTTAAAAAAGTAGGGGTAATTGTATTTATCCTGTAACTGAGATTTTTAGTCTATAGAATTGTATTTTTATTTGATGCCTGAAGATTTTACTTTCAACTCTTTTGTTTTTTGTTTTTGAGCCTTGGAAAAGATAAGCAAAAAAAGACCATTACTCATTGTTAACATTTTGGACTCAAACATTCTTGCATTTGACCTACTAGGGCTTACGTTTCAAGAAGGCCCATGTAACACATCCTGAACTGAAAGCTACCTTTTGCCTGCCAATACTTGGTGTAAAGAAGAATCCCTCCTCCCCACTTTATACAACCTTGGGTGTTATTACCAAAGGTACTGTCATCGAGGTGAACGTGAGTGAGTTGGGCCTTGTGACACAAGGAGGCAAGGTTATTTGGGGTAAGTAAATTTGTTAGTATGGGGATGCTGCTCTTGTAATCCTAAAAACAAATTTTCAAGTTGACATAAAGTACCCAGCAAACTGTAATGTGGAAGATATAGATAAGTTCACACTTGATGTAAAGCAGATTTAAATCTTTAGGAAGAATACTTTTTGTAGAAAAAGTAGTTATGAATATAATTTAACTTAGTTTCAGTTATATGAGATGTACTACATTGCTAGACTTTGATGCTATATTTAAAAAGAAATTAATTACCAGGGAAACAGATGCCAAGATATGGTTATAACTAAAAAATATTGGAATATAATAAATTAACTGTGAGTGGAAGAAGGAAGGCATATATCAAACAGCCACACTCTTTCAGTGGTAATGAAAAACTAAAATGTCATGTAATTATAAATTCCTTTTCCTCATTTTCTTACTTTTCTGATTTTAGTGCCCAGATATTCCTAAACTTGAATGTTCTTTGAAAGGGAAGAATCCTATATAGTAAAAGGCTAATATGCAAATTGTCCCTTTGGCCAGGAGTTCAACCAGGGGGTGGGGCCGGTCGGCCAACCACCCAGATCGGGGGTGGGTCAAGCAGACCCCACCCATGCATGAATTCATGCACTGGGCCTCTAGTATCTTCTATAACTCTTAAAAGTAGTAAATTAGAAGTATTGGGGCAAAGGTTATATTTTTTAAAGTTTTTATTAGCTAACATCCCTCTTTCTTCATTTTGTTTCCTTAGGAAAATATGCTCAGGTTACCAACAATCCTGAAAATGATGGCTGCATAAATGCAGTCTTACTGGTTTGACAGCAGTTTCATACAAGTAACTTTGTAATTGTTGAAGATTATGCACCAATCAGGAAAATTCCTTTACTATGATGTTTCTGAGTGCTATCAAACAGCTTACATGTCTGCAGTCATCAAGAGAATTATTTATTCTATTGTAAAGAACATTAAAATGGCCCAGTTTTACAAATTGGTCTTTATTTTGGGGTCTGTTTATCACTTAGGTGCTCATGAAATTGAATGATTAAAAAGCAATTATAACAGTTTCCTACTTCATCAATAACTATCTGTTTTAATAAGTGGGTATTCAGCAATGCAGATCTAACATTTCTGGAAAGCCAGTGTAGTTGATAACACCTTTTATCCTTAGAGTTAATGCACACTTAATATGGGGCCTACGCTATAAAACCTCACCTCATTATTTATTCATCATTAGTCCTAAAAATGTAGCATTGACACACCTGGTAATGTTAAGTTTATAAAGTATTCACATTGAAGGCATACGAGAAAAGGTACACTACAGTAAGTCGAATTCAGAAGAAATTTAGATAAATCTTTTCTCCCGTAATTCTTAATTTCTTCAGACAGTAAGTCAGTAGTTAGTATGTTAAACATTTTCTTCTCTCATCATATATAGTAACACCTACTTGGAACTGTGCTTTCTACTTGGAACATGAAAAACACCAAAATGTTTATACTTTTAGCATTTTCTGTATTCTGAACTCGGTAGTATATATTTTTAGAGTCTGAAAAATTTGTTTAAATCCAGAAAAAATGGTTTTAAAAAGAAAGACTGCACTGATGCCCTTAAAAGAGAAATATATTTGTAATCACATAATATAAAAAAAGATCATGTTTTAGGGTAATTGTCAAAGCACCTTTGTGATATGAATTATGTTGGTGGCTTTGAGCTTTAGGGTGTCTATATATTAATATATAATCGTTTTAAATTGTTTATTTTTAAAAATCTGTTCTGAAGGTACAACCAGTATGAACAAATTCTGTATCCAAATACATCATCAATGAAATTAGGGAAAAGAAAAGGGAAAGAATTTCAAAACACAGACCAAGAACAATCACAAAATATATGTTTAATTACTACTTTTCAACTAAAAAAACAACTAAGAAAATTTCAGTAAGACTTGCTATTCTAAATACTGCAATATCTTTTCTAAGTTCTATAAACAATAAAAGGTTTAGAACACAGGAAAAGAAAGGCTGGCTAGTCCTTGGGAATGACTATCCAGGATAATACAATTACTTCACAATGACAGAAGCTTAACCTTTCTTACAATTAGTTTTAACATGATTTTGCCACTAATAGAAATGAATGACTTAGGTTTTGGAAGGTGAAAGAAAACACTGACTAAAGGTAAGCACATGATGCTACAGAATTGAGATATTTTTTAAAATAAGCAAATTAACAAAGCCTGATATTAACAGAAACATAACTCATCACATCCATGAAATATCGGATAACACCTTGAACAATATTGATGTTAGTGGACATACCAGGCAGAAATATATTTGTAAAATACTGTCACATGGATGAGTGTTAGTATAAATTCTTTATTTACACTTTAAGATTCTGTTTCAGATTGCTGGTGTGACCAAATTTAGAAGGTAATCCCTAAGGGTAAAGCAGAACATAAGAACAGATATCAGATGCTAGGTAAACTCTCAATTTGATGCAATCACAACCCACCAAGATAATTTTCTAAAGTCACTAAAACCATTTTAGATAGCATAGTGTTCTGGTGGTCAGCAAAAAGTGAACCATTAATCACTAGTAGTTATCTTTCCTGTGATAATTCTCTGTACTTAATGGAAAACACCATGAATAGAGACACAATTTAAGCAAGTGACTGATAGTCTGTCATGCTATTTGATTTTATAAAAAATCATAATAGACCCTCATCTTTAAAAGCTGTAGAAGAGCTTTATAATAAATTCTTAAATATACTTATTTCTGTGATGTCCAGCAATTGAATAAACTTAAAAGAACTAAAATTTTGTTAACTGCTCTATATTACACAAGGAAATACATATTTACACAAACTAAAGTGAACTTCCTTCTCCACGAATAAGACTTCTAAACAAAACAGTCCACAAATTACAGAATGTGACTGGATACTCAACAACTGGACTAGCTGTTTGAAATCAAATTTCTGTCCTCTAGTTCTGAAAGTTTTACTAATGACTTGCAAAAACAAGTATCTGATTAAGTTTTATTTAGTTTCCTAGTTGATATATTTTGTTATAAATTCTATACTCACTGAGTACAGAACTCATTTACTGAAAAAGCATGTTACTGAATGTGAATGTTAGGGTTTTTCATGTGACTCACTTTTTCTCCTTTACTATTTATAAGCGCCAAAATAACATTTTTCTGCCAGACAACATGTAACAAGTTTTCTTGTGTGCTGAACAAAAAGTTTTGAAATTGCCTAAAATGCACATCTTGTTTAAGATAAACCAAACAAGTTCAACAAGTTTGTACTGTTAGTCCCTGGCAATCATACATGAATAACCATTTCTTTTTGTAAACTCAGTAACCATATTCACACATCAAGAGTTGTCAGTGAATTCAACCTTCTTAAATTCCACCTTTTTATAGAAAGTATTTTGAAGAGAAAATGAATAATCCCAAGTAAAATAAGTGTTGGATTTTTATCATAAATTTAAAATGGAAAGGTTAAGAATAAGAACTCACTAAATCTTAATCTTTAATTCCCTATTTGTGGTTTTAACAAATGTTTTTCATAAAACATGTAAGAACATAAACATTTGATAGGGAATTAGTACTACTCATACTTTTTTCTTTCACTTATTTAGCATTTTTTTGAGAAAACAGCCAAAGTGCTGTAATTTTCATTTAGCATGAAATCTGGCTTATCCCAACCAATAATTAAAGAAAATTTGGGGATACAAGTACTCAAAATTTTACAATGAATAGGAGGGTTTGCCATTTTGCCTGTTAAAGAACTTAGATCTTTCTAAAATACCAACATCACCCTGAAAAATGTAATGACATAACTTGACTGTGGACTAAAAAACATTTAACATCAATCCTTAGCATTATTTGTCAAATAATGACAAAAAGTTCTAACTCATTTTTTCATAATGAACCAAGCCTGTTTTAAAAACAATCTAAGTGGTCTCAAAGCATTCTTCAACTTAAGTACACATCTGAGTACACATAATACTTCCAAAGAGCAGTATTATTTCGAATTTCTCTTTGGATCCTAAGAATAACCATTTTGTTCATTTCTAAATAAATTACTCTACAAAAAATTAACAATTGAGGGTTTTTTTGTTTTTGAGTTTTCCTGGGCAAAGGCCTTTGCTATGGCAACACAATGAACAGGCTGGCTTGTAACCTGTCCTCAAAACAAATCAAGAGTAAAAGCAAGACCAAAGGGACAAAGCCTCCAATTTCACTTAAGCTCTGGTAACAACAGTTCCTAGGGCAGCGTTACTGCTGTCATCCAGATCTAAGTGGGGCGTAGTTTCATACCTACCCAAAGTGATGCCAAGGGCATAAGCTGGCAGGCAGGTTTTTTGACAGGATTCACTCTGTGAGGGAAGTGGATGAACGCTGAGAGGAATATAAATAAGATTCTAGAATAAGGGCAACAGCAGGATTAAGGAGAACTCTTAGGAAGGGACCTCTTACTTCTAATGTATATGTGTTAACTAGGTGAAGACAAAAGTATAGTCCCCAACTTCAAAAGAAAATTTAAATAATTATATTAGTACCTACATGCCAGAGTTAAATCCCTAGCACTACTGTTAATATTAGACGTTATAAGGAGTGAGTTGGAAAGTTTGTACCTATTCGGAAAAGTCAAATGAAGAAACTGCATCTACACTACAATGAATTAAGAGGCCAAAATACCGCCCTCATAAACCTTTGACCAAAAATTTATGTATTTGTGCTCTCATTTAGTCGAAATTATTCTAATATACTGCCATTTTTGTTTAGGCATGCCTACATTTTTTAAAATGGTGATTAGTTTTGATAGTTAAGCTAAAACTTCTAGAACGCTCCCCAAGTTTACTATTTAAAACTCAAGTGTAAAAGATTTCTGTAATCCTCACAATGAAAAGCCTACTACTTTGTTTTTTAATTTATATATCCTGAAATATTAATAGTCAGATGGCCCCAACTACTAAAGAAAATACAGTATGGTCTGGTTTCCCCAAATCGAAACATGGTTAATAAAAATTAAAAAACTGTATTTACACAAAGTAACCTGAAAATTAAAAACAATGATGAATCCTAAGCCCTAAGGAGGAGGGAAAAACAGCATCATAAATAAGCTCAAAGTGAAATTCTGGAATTTTTGTCCTGTGCCCCGTGCTATTTATTACCATATCTTAAAAACAATTATGTTACAAAGAGGATTTGTGATCTGCATTTCTTCATTCAGGTCAGCTTGGCTTTCTTCTTAGCGGGTCCTTTGTATCCTTTGGCCTTTCTTCTTAAATTCCGCCTGTCTACAACAGGCACTTCCACTTCTATTTCCTCTGAGCTGCTATCCACAGTTTTTTCTATTGATTGTGTAAACTGATCCAGTTGCTCAGAAGATGCTTCCGACTGCTCCTCTGACTGGTTCTTCTGTCCTGCATTCTGTGAAAACTGCACATCTTCAAGTTCAACCTCTATCAAAGAACTCTGAGGAACAGCTGGAGATGTTTCCTGGGGCTCAGACACCCCCTCTTCAACCTGGTCTTCCAATGAGGAAGTAGTATTGGGTGACAAATTTTCAGAGATCGGTTCCTCAGAAAATTCAGCTACCACAGAGTTTGGAAAACCACTGTCAGATTGTTCTTCATGTGGGATAGTGGCAGCATTGTCTGAACTAACAAAATGTGCCTTCTTTCTTGGAACTTGTGGCAGTTTCTCTTCTGTGTGCCCCTTTCCATCAGATGGGCCTTCATTTAACAACACTTCGGAGTCAGTTACATGTGAGGTCTAAAAATAAAAACCTGGTGAGCAAACTTCTGCAATATAGACCTTATATAAATTATTCTTACAAACCAATATGTAATGACACTAAACTGCATTTTAAAGACTTCAGTATTCATTATTTAACCATGTGTACATATTCTGAGTACAAGTCAATTTCTTCAAAATTGTCTTTGATAATTTGCATACATTAAGTTCTTGCTTTAAAGATATCATAAAAAGAATAATTTTAACTCAAAAAGTACTTAATATATTTTAAACTTCATATCAAGATTTTTCAAAACTTTTAGCTCAAAAGTTTTTATTTTCTTGGTGTTACTGGAGCCAGAACCAAGAGTCCCTTGGAACTTGACACTGTGCCACCCCACTAAATTTGACTACGGTTTTGTTAGATGACAAGTAAGGGCAATGGAAATTTTATTCATTTATTTATCCTAGACGCTAATAAAGTAATTCTATACAATAGTTTTTTAGCTTTACATTTAAATATTCAAAATAAAAAATTAAATTTCTTTTAAAATAGTCCAAGTTTTTCCCACTAATCTGATGTCTCCCTAATTAAAACAAATTAAAATGATCATTTAAGCAAATAGGTACTCAAATATTTGGCAAAAATTTTTTTATCCATTTTTCTAAGCTTTTACCTACAAAGTAAAACTCATTTTGTAAACATAAATCTGGTAAGAATGAATAGGTTATAAAGATTTGAATTTATGAAACATTACTGATTGCATCTTTGTAAAATACTGAATCTAGTATAAAATTTAATTTTTCTAAAGGACTGTACATGTTAAAGGAGGAAAATATATATACTACTCTGCCCTTGCCATGTCACCAACACTAGAATATGTTAACTATAAAATGTTAGGTTAGCCCAACCCAGTTTTCTCAGTGGTCAGAGCATCAGCCCACGGATTGAAAGGTCCAGGGTTCAATTCTGGTTAAGGGCACAGACTCGGTTGCAGGCTCACTCCCTAGGGCTCATGCGAGAGGCAACCAATCAATTTGTCTCTCTCACATCGATGTTTCTCTCTGTCTCTCCCCCTCCCTTCTACTCTGTCTAAAAAAATCAATGGAAAAAATATCCTTGGGTGAGGATTAACAAAGCAAACAAAATATTAGGTTATTTCCCTCTTACCTTATCCTGTGCAACAGCCTCAGGGGGTTTTGAAGATTCTACCACCAGCGGAACTAGATTTGTAGGGTCTTCACTGGAATTAAAAGGCTGCAATTTAAATTCTTCATCTAAAACTTCACTAGTGGAGTCCTCCTCTTCAATTATAAGAGAGGTCTTAATAGTATCATCCATTACTTCACCATTCATAGGCTCTACTTCAGATTCCTACGGGGGGAAGGGGAGGAATATGTCAGGACATAATTACAGACTCACTTATTTGTCATGTAATGTGGGTCCATTCTCAGTCCTATCTGTCAGGTACCAAGACTCAAGATAAATTCTACCACATTATAGGGCAGGGGTTAAAGAATAGTGTTATCGGGGAAAAGGGGAAATGTATGAGGCAGGGTCAATAAAAGAAAAGAATCCATAAGTCCCCCAAACTCCTCTTGTTCTCATGGAGAGAGAGGACACAGTGTGGGTCTGAGATTCAGTAATGAAACCCTGCCCCTTCTTGCTCGTCCTTCTCAAAGGGCAATCATGGGAGGAACCTTTTCAGTAAAAAGGCACCAGAGAGAATCAAGATGTGGTGCCACCTCTTTACAGAACACCAGCTGCTCAGCACTTACCATCTTTGGAGCCTGTAGGAAGTGAGTTTACCCTGCCAGGGGGAAGGAACACTAGCAATCCTGTGGGAAGCTGTTTGGCTACAGGTTCCTGCAGGGATAAAACGAGCCCCCAATCTCAGTTCCCTGTCTAGTTAACTTAGGGTCATTTCTGAACAATCCTCCTCCTTACCTCACATTAAAATATAGAAAAGTGATCTGATAACACAAACCCTGCAATTTCTAAAAATCTTCCAATGTTTATCAATATACAAGACTTCTATTTAATGTCTAATATTTCTAATCCTACTGATATTCTTGTAATTAGAAGGCATTTTATTACCATTTTAATAATAAGAAAACTGATGCACTCAAGTGTTCAGAAATAGATTTGGCTGAATTATATAGAACCCTTGAAGTCATATAAAGAACATTTTCCATAGGACTATTGAAATCAGGGGCTTAGATATACAAAATAACTTGCACAAAGAAAACAATTATAATAAAACTCATAAAAGAACCAATTAGGGCAGAAGACATATCAAAAGGAAGAAAATGAGAAAAATAGAGCAAAAGCTTTAAAAAATAGAATTCTGGTAACTAAAAGTGAGAAGCAACAGAAGAGAACAACTCAGTCCAGCCAGTTTTAGTTTTGGGAACTGAATGAAAGATAAGAAATTTTTTACAAGGCTCAATACAGAAGTGATAAGAAAGAATAGAGGTTGTACTAAATTTAAGAAGATAAAAGACATCTGTCTAAACAGAAATATTCAGAAGGCAAGTAACATTATGATACTACACTCTGGATCAATATTGAAAGTCTACAGTTATTGGTCATCCCCTCATTGAACCATTAGATTGGATGCATTTTCAAAAGAAAGAGGATGAACCAAAGAGCAGAAAGTCAAGAACTGTCTTTTAGATGAAAAAGCAGAACAGTCAAAAAATAAATAAAACAAAACAAAACTTAAGAGATAGGAAAACCAAGAAGTTAAAATACAGTAGTGTTAAAAAGCAAGGGAGCTAGTCAATCTAGGTCAGAAAATCCACTGGAATTCAATGGAAGTGGCACTGGTGACCTATAACAGTATGTGCTCAATGTATTGTTGGACAAATGAAACTGGTTAAATGAAGTATGTACAGTTAATATTAAGTTTTTAAAAGAGAAAAAAAGCACAAATATATATATATGCCCATAAGCATCTAGGTCAGTGATGGCGAACCTATGACACGCGTTTCAGAGGTGACACGTGTGTCAGAGGTGACATGGGAACTCATTTTTTTGGTTGATTTTTCTTTGTTAAATGGCATTTAAATATATAAAATAAATATCAAAAATATAAATCTTTGTTTTACTATGGTTGCAAATATCAAAAAATTTCTATATGTGACACGGCACCAGAGTTAAATTAGGGTTTTTCAAAATGCTGACACACTGAGCTCAAAAGGTTCGCCATCACTGATAGGTGCACATAAACCTTTTTTATTTTTCAAATATAATTTACATTCAATCTTATTCTGTATTAGTTTCAGATGTACAGCAAAGTAGTTTTAAAAATCATGTACTTTACAGAGTGGTCCTCCGCTGCTTCAAGTACCCACCTGGCCCCACACATATTTATCACAATATTATTGACTATATACCCTATGCTATAATCTACATCTCTGTGACTATCTTGTAACTGCCAATTTGTAGGGTTTTTTTGGGTTTTTTAGATAAACCCTTTTATTTATTTATGCTTCGCCATTTTGTTTAAAACAACCACCACCACCACCTTAATATTAACTGACAGCCCTTCCCCCTCACCCCTCCTTGGGCTGGGGGGTAGATAATGGGGAAATGGCCCCCAGGGGCGGGGCTGACCATAGAGCCCCTTGGAGAGGTAATGGAGCCCAAGTCCCCTCCCCAGGGGACGGGGCACCTGTAGTGTATGAACTGGGGAGTTAACGGGACTCTTGAACCTCTTCTTGTACCAACATATATGCCCTTGGCCATCAAGGGTAAGGAAGCATATGGGGAGGGGATTCCTACCGCTCCTCTATGTCCCTGCTCAGCCCCCGTCTCAGGAACTGAGGGCTGAGGAGCAAGAAAGTGGAGAAAGGGTGGGGGTAGGGTGTCACACAAAGGAGTACTGGTTATTAATGGCTCTGGGGTGGCCCCGTTCTTTTCCATCGCCTCCTAGTGGTCACTGCTGGAGCTGCACCATTGGTGTTGCTTCAGGGACCCCACTAGATCCAGGGCCTCCCTGGACCTCCATGCCTGGTGTCATGGCCTCTTCCAATTCAACCATGGGGACCAGCTCAACCACGGGGACCAGCTCTTCCTGGATCCCTCCACTGCCCACTTTCTTTCTCTTGCCTCTTTGGCTGCTGTGGCTGTTGCTGCTGCCACTTCTGACATCCCCGACGCCTCTTCTGCCCCAGGATGTGGGGGGATCTGTCCATGGAGGGGGTTCAGGGGGTGGGGGTGGGTCGTGGGAGGTGTTGGGTTACACAGTCACTCCAACGAAGGGCATGAGGGTGGAGGAGGCATCGGGGTAGCATCGATCTCCCTCGCACACCCCTGCATGGTTCCCGGCCTGCTCTCGGCCTGCTCTCGGCCTCCTCACTTCTTGGGTGCATGGGCACCTCCTCCCCTGCAGACCTGCTCTGCTCACCCTGCTGCTGCTGGGAGGACACAACATGGCTGCCAAGGACAACATCACTGGAGCCTCCAGACTCCAGAGGGATGGGGTGCACCCGGAAACGCTTGAGCATATCAAAAATGGACTGGAACCACAGGTGCTGGACCCGGCACTGACCCTCCTCATTTAGCGACAGACGCAGGTGCTTGGCCTTGCCCTGGAAGTTGAAAGTGAGGACATATTCGCCCCGCCTCGTCTCACTCTGACGTACCAGGAAAACACCATGGGAGTCGGTGCCTCCAGCCAGTACTAACTGGGCAGCCTTGAGTCGAGAGAGCATCCCGTGGAACCAAGGATACCCTGAGAGGGGCTGCTCCCCCTCACCTCCCTCTGATTCCCCCTGGAACAGGAATGACCCTGTGGCTGTTTCTGGAGTGTCCAGGGGTGGGTAGGGGGTTGAGAGGGGATGAACTGTCCCAGCTGGGGGTTCCTCTTCAATGGGGATGCGGGGTGGCAACTCTGGGGGAAGCAGTTCCATTGAGTCAAAATGGGAGGCAGCAATGGAGGCGGAACTAGGGGAGATGGATGCTGAAGGGCGGTCTGAGAGGCCCCCATATGCCCCCGGGGACAGGCGGTCGTTGCTCTCGCTGGGTCCCAGCAGTAGATCCTGGCTGGGCAGACTCTGAGTGATTCAGGCAGGGCAGTTCCAGGCTGTCTGTGTTCTCTCTTTTAAGAAACGAGGCCCCAGGGGCCAGTGGGAGGGTCATGGTGTGGGGACTGGTAGCAGGGCAGGGCCCCGGGCTCAGGCATTCTTGGATGTCAGACACCCAGGCCTTCACATGTAGAGCATCAGCTGTCTCCAGGATATACTCTGAGGAGCCTTCCACCTGAACCACAAATGTGTTCTCCCGATCGGGCATCTCCAGCGCTGTGGTCGCCCGCACATCGTGATGGTAGAGCAGGGAATGCTGAGCCGAGGCCGAGATGCCTTGGGTGGTACAAAGAACTCCAGGCGATTTCCTCCTCCTCCTCCTCCTTCACTTCCAAGCAGTAGCAACACTTCTGCCACTGAGGTTGCCCTCCTCCCCCTGAGGTAGGCCCAGCTGCCCCTCCTCCCCGGCCCACTCCAGCCGGGTCCGGGGCTGCCTCTTCAGCCCCCATGAAACTCAGCAGCTCTTCCCTCTGCACCATCCCTGCTCCATCCTTCAAGGTCCCTCCTCCCCGACTGAAAACCGTGAGTCCCTCTGTCCCCTGGGGATGTTCCATCACTAACCAGTCCCCTGCCAATGGTGCCAGCCCCACCAGAGGAGTTGGAGTTGCTGTTTCCACCTAACACTGGGGGGCCTGATGAGGTCTCCAGGGGCCCGGCTGGGGAGAAAGGGTCCACGGTCCCCCGCCACTGCAGGATGCCACGGACCGAACCTCGGACGGAGCGACCCACTGAACGGAGGTAGAAGCGTTTCTTTAGCTTCGGCTTCGAGGAGGAGGCTGTAGAAGAGGAAGAGACCGAGGAAGGGAGGGGGCCGGCCAGGTCCTCAGATGATCGAGAAGGGCCCAGCACAGCCAGAGGCCCGCCCACCCTGCAGCTCTCAAGGGACAGGTCATGTGGTGGGATCTCCACACCAGGACTCAGAGGGGCCGGGATGGGTGGTGAGAGGGAACCAGAGACCCGGGCCACCTCAGCTTCAAAATGCTGCAGGAAGAGCTCAGCAAAATGGCGGGAGAAGGCAGCCTTGGCCCCGGGCCCTGTATATTGGGGGTGGGAGGCCAGGTACAGGCGAAAACGGTGGGCAAAATCCAGGGCAGCGGCCTGGGCATGGGACTCACAACTCCCGCCAACTAGGGGAGGGGGTGGTGGCAAGGGAGGAGGAGAGGGGAAGGCCCCATCCTCCAGGGAAGGGGCACCATTCATGACGGTCCCCAGGAGGTGCAGAGGGGGAGCCTGTGGGGAGGGGCAGCAAAGTGGGAAGCGGCCAGAAGACACAGGGTGAGCGGCAGCAGCTTTCCCCGTGGGAGTCTTAATAACCTCTATAACACGCGGAAACTGAAGCTCAGAAAGGTTTCAGGGACTCGCTGGACCAGCCTCAGCCACAGCCTCTCACTGCCTCAGCTCTAGGAGGAGCTAGGCCTACAGAGCTCAGAGACCCTGCCTCATGTATCCAACTCTTAGGGAGGTTGCTCATTGAGGAGGGTGGATGGATGATGGATTGAAACAGCAACAGTCTTGGAAGCTGACCCCAGGGCCCAGCACCCGAGCCCTGTGTGAAGGCCTGCAATGGTCACAGCCCACTTCTTTGCTGCCCCTTCAGCCTGGAGCTCAGAGGCAGCAGCACCAGGTGAGGAAAGGCTATGAGGTCGGGTCAGGGCAAGTCTTTGCTGGCCACAAACTAAATAAAACGTAACAGGGAGCGGGGGATCCTCGAACTTTTCACCTCCCTCTTCTCTCACTGGGGAGTGTGCCCTAAAGGCTGGCTAGCCTGCTGGTTAAGGCCATGGCTTATGGAGTCAGGCTTGGGATGAAATCCAATCTCTGACACCTATTAGCTGTGTAATCTTGAACAAATTATATGTCCTCTCTGAGCTTCAGTTTTTGTATCTATCGGGAGAATTAAGTGGAACACATCAGTGCTTGACACAAAGTAAGCACAAAATAAAGGACCACCATTATTGCTATCTTTGTGGGTTCCAATCTCCTAAAAGAGAAATTAGAGAAGGAAGAGATTTCCCGAGGTCTTACAACTGGCAAACAGCAGAGCTGGACATGGAATTTAGCGCTCCTCCCTCCTATTACACCGGAAAAATGACTGGCACCAGGACTGGGATGAAGATAGCTCAGGAAGGTCTCCCCAAAACCTCAGACTCCTATTGAGACCCACAGTCAGCACCCCCTCCCCTTCCTCCTTGGCCTAGGCCCTGCACACTCAGGTAGCTCCAAGCACAGGAACCATCCCAAACCAACGCGAAGAAGCCAGGAGATGCCGGAGTCATGGAGCACAGGGGACCCGAGCCAAGAGGCGCGGACACAGAAGACAAACCCATCTCCAGACAGAGGCCACCTCCACGCACAGGCCCACCCCACCCTCCGTGCCACAGGCGGACCCAGCGCCCTTGGGCCCGCTGACCCTGCAGCTCCTGAGCTGGTGACTCAGTTTCTCTTCTGTCAAACAGGACTCAGACCCATCTGCCCGGTGCACCTGCCTCTTGGCTCAGTTCTGATAGTCCCCGAAGGGCGAGCGGCGGAAGGTGCAGGCTCTGCTCCGGGCTCGGACCTCCAGGCCCGCCGCAGCCCACCGACCCGACCCAACCCTACTCCCCGGGCACCCTCTACCCACCCATTCCCCGGGGCCGCAGTCTCCAGGGGTCATCCCGCCTCCTGCACTCTCCGCACCGAGCACCCCCCTGCCTCGGGGGCCCCCACGCCCGCTCCCATGCAGGGCTTCTCAGAGGAGCCAGCCGGCCAATTTGTACAGTTTGACCCCATCACTTTTTTCACCCAGCCCCCTCACCGCCCTCTCCTCTGACAACTGTCAGTCTGTTCTCTGTTTTAATTTTGTTTATTTTGTTCATTAGGTTCTGCATATAAATGCAATTATATGGTATTTATCTTTCTCTGTCTGACTTATTTCACTTAGCACAATACCATCTAGGTCCATCCATGCTGTCACAAAAAGTAAAATTTTGTTCTTTTTTACAGCTGAATAGTATTCTATTGTGTATATATATATGTACCACAGCTTTTTTTATTTACTCATGTATTGATGGGCACTGGGGTTGCTAGACCACCTTCTTAACCATAGCCTATAGAATAAAGAAGGAATATGCAAATTGACCGTCACTCCACCACAAATGATGGCGGCACCCACAGTGGAGGGGGGGGGGGTCCCATAACACAAGATGGCTGTGCCCACAGTGGAGGCCGAGTTCCCGTAATGAGCCTTAACGAGCAATCAGCAGGGACCTGAGACTCTGCCGCCCCCCCTGCCCCTGCGGGGCTTGACAGGGGACCTCAGGCCACGCTCCCCACCCAGCAGGGCTTGACAGGGGACCTCAGGCCGTGCCCCCCGCCCTGGGACAGGGGACCTGAGGCCACGCCCCCCGCTGGCGGAGCTTGATGGAGGACCTCAAGGTGTGCCCCCCTCCCCGACCTGGGCTGGGGGACCTCAATATAATAAAGAGCTAATTTGCAAATGGTCGTCACGCCCTCGTGCCCTCGCGCCAGGGCTGGGGGGACTTGAAGCTGGCCTGGGGGACCTCAGGCTACGCCCCCCGCCCCGGTGCTGGGCCAGGGGACCTGAGGCTACGCCCCCTGCCCAGCGGGGCTTGACAAGGGTGGGACGGGCTGGGTCTGGATCTAGCCCAATGGGGGGGTGCCCGGCCGGGTCTGGGTCTCGCACGATTTTGAGGCGCACGTGGGTGGGCGGGGACTTGACTCTGGGTCCCATGGTGCGCCCCAGACTCTGAGAAGATTTTCATATACATTTTACTAATTTTCTTTCATCTCTGACACTTCTATTATAGAGAAAGGGCAAATAGCATTACTGAAATATTTCCTCTAATTACTCCCCTTTTATTGTGCACGAGGCACTAGTATAAGAATAAACTCGAGCCCTAACTGGTTTGGCTCAGCAGATAGAGCATCGGCCTGCGGACTGAAGGGTCCCAGGTTCGATTCCAGTCCAGGGCATATACCTTGGTTGCGGGCACTTCCCCATTGGGGGGTGTGCAGGAGGCAGCTGATAAATGTTTCTCTCTCTTCGATGTTTCTAACTCTCTATCCCTCTCCCTTCCTCTCTGTAAAAAGTCAATAAAATATATTTTTTTAAAAATGTGACCGTTGCCTAAGTGAAAAAATGTAAAAAAAAAAAAAAAGAATAAACTCAAAATGGATTAAAAACTGAAATGTAAGACCCAAAACCATAAAACTGCTATAAGAAAACATAGACAGTAAAATATCGCACATTTCTCTTAGCAATATGTTTTCTGAAATATCTTCTTGGGTAAGGGAAACAAGAGAAAAAAATAAATGGGACTACATCGAATTAAAAAGGTTTTGCACAGTAAGGGAAACGATCAAGAAAACAAAAAGACAACCTACTGAATGGGAGAAGATATTTGACAATGATATATCTGATAAGTGGTTAATATCCAAAACTTATAAAGAACACAGATAACTCAACACCAGAAAAGCAAATAACCCAATTAAAAAGTGAGCAAAAGACCTGACTAGACACTTCTCCAAAGAGGACATACAGGCCGATACATGAAAAAATGCTTAACATCACTAATCATCAGAGAAATGCAAATCAAAACCACAATGAAATACCACCTCACACCTATCAAAAAAGTTATCAATAAATCAATAAACAACAAGTGTTAGAGAGGACGTGGAGAAAAAGGAACCTTCTGCACTGTTGGTGGGAATGCAGATTGGTGCAACCACTATGCAAAACAGTGTGGAGGTTCTTCAAAAAATTAAAAATGGGCCCTAGGCAGTTTGGCTCCATGGATAGAATGTTGGCCCACAGTCTGAAGGGTCATGGGTTCGATTCTGGTCCAGGCACGTACCTCAGTTGCAGGTTCGATCCCCAGCCCTGGTCAGGGCACTTGCGAGAGGCAACCAATCGACGTGTCTCTGTAACTTCAATGTTTCTCTTTCTCTGTCTCTCCCCCTTCCTTCCACTCTCTAAAAATCAATGGAAAAATATCCTCAGGTGAGGATTAACAAAACAAAAAAATTAACAATGAAATTGCCTTATGACCCAGCAATCCCACTTCTTGGAATGTATCTGAAGAAACCTGAAACATTGATTTGAAAGAATACATGCACCCCTATGTTCATTGCAGCATTATTTACAAGAGCCATGATATGGAAGCAACCCATAAGTCTCTTTTTAAAATATGTACTTTGTTTTCCAAATTTTCTACAAGAAAAAAAGTTATTTAAAAACAGGGTTTCAAGAAATAGAAGGAAGCTAAATTGGTGTAAATTAAGAAAATAAAATTGGTAATGTAGTTTCACTTGTTTAGCTGCTGGCTGGATTAAGCAAGCAGGTAAAAGATTTTTAAAGAAACTTCAGCACATATGAAGGAAGAAATAAGGAATCTGTAGAGAGGAGAAGATTAAAGCTATTTAAGAAAAAGAAGAACAAGAAATTAATAGAGAAGAAAAAAGAAGATACGGATAAATATTTGAGGAGCTGAAGAAATCAAGTGAGATAAAGAGTTTACTTAGTCACAGAGGATTTTCCTGTATGTTTTCTGGTGTTTAAAAAAATAAATTTAGTTATTTTAGCAGGAATTTGCAGTCAAATATATATATATATTTTTCTGGGAAACTCATTCATATCCTCCTAACCAAATTAGGATTGCAATTGAAGACTAACTGGTTCTATAAGGTAGATTAAGAAAGTTAAAGTTTCGTTTACTTCCATTCATTTTATTTATGGAATAAATAGTGATCTCCTACCTTTTCACCATCTTGCTTCTCCAGATGTGACTGGATTTTAGGTGTTGAATGAGCATCTTTATCACTACTTCCGTCCTCAAATTCAACCACACTCTGTGCATGTTCTTCTTCTAGTAATTCTTCTGAGCTCTCTGATGTGTGTGAAGTAGACTCCAATCTAAAAACAAAACAAAATTCTTACATGTTTTCTTAAGGATGAATATGAATTTCAGGAATCTGTTAATAAAGTAACACTTTAGAGAATCAACTAAGTGTTGTTCAGTCAACAATTTCAAATTTTACAGGTCCAAGACCAATCTCTTCATCCTATAAATTTGTTCTTTCCTACCTTGTTCTCCAGTTCAATTAATAACATCACTATATTTTCAAACATGTAAATGAGACCTTTCCTTTACTCTATTCATATCTGATAATATCTTATTCTATTAAAGTAAACATACATCCTAGTATACCTGGGACCATACAGTTTAAAGCTTTTATCCCAGCATTGGCATATTATAAAGCCCCTTTCTTTCTCAAAAAAAATCAATTTGGACCATAAATGATACGGTTTAGTTCTACCTCCGAAATGCCTTTCAAACATATCCCTAACTTACTATTACCATTTTCAGGTCCCAATTCTCTCTGGAGAATTCTCACAGTAACTTCTTCCCAATTCATCTTTTCTAGATAGACAGGTGATAGATAGATAGATAGATAGATAGATAGATAGATAGACAGATAGACAGACAGACAAAGAGTTGGGGAAAATAGTGATGTGAAAGAAACATCTATCAGTTGCCTCTCATTCACACCTCGACAAGGATTGAACTCACAACCTGGGCATGTGACCTGACTGGGAATCGAACCGGCAACTTTTCAGAGCTCAGGACAACACTCAACCAACGTAACCACACCAACAAGGGCACCCAATTCATCTTAATATTTATTCTTTAGAAAGTTTTCCAAAGCTGTGTTTCTCATATACATATCTGTACCTGTGACAGCCCCACTAAGAAAACTCTGATAGTTCTCTATGGCTTAGAGAATAAGGTATATCTCCCTTTAAAGCCTAACAAGACCAGACCCTTATATTCTTACCTCCTACTAGATACTACTGTAACAGTGAGAAATTGTAACTCACCCCACCATTCTTTTTGACGCTGTTTCTGTAAATGCTGATTCTGACTAATATGTAGCTTGTAGATGAAGAGCATGTTTGTATAAGAATCCTAGGAACTAATTTCAGACGAAGCAGACTCTGCCCTTCAGTCATCCCAGTTCTGGGAAACTTGCTAATCGTTAACCATAGAACCAGGATGATGCAGAACCAGAACGATGAACCAGGATGACGCACACCAGACCATCACTTCACCAGTTTCGAGATTCATATCGGAATGGACTGTGCTGGCCTGCATGTACAGAACTACTCAACTCCCTCACCGTGGTTTCTTTGTTCTACTTTCCCTGTTCCTCCTTATAAAAACCTCGGTCTGCACTGAGGTGTTGAGATGGGCTTTTGACAAAGAATCCCCTATCTTCTCAGATGACCAGCACTTGAATAAACCTCTTTCCTTTTCACCAGCATCTGTCTCACCAGTTTGGCTTCTGTGGCAGCAGGCAGTTGAAACTTGGTTTCAGTTACACTACCATTTACCTTATATATCCGTATCAACGTTCCTCTTCGTTTTGTGCCTTTGTTCATGTTATTCCTGTAGTCTAGTTCTGCACATGCAATACAGTAGCCGTAAGACATGTGTTTCTATTTGTTATTAAACGTAAATGAAATAAAAAATTCAGTTCCTCAGCTGCACCAACCACACTTCAAGTGCTCGAATGGCACATGGGTAGTGGCTGCCATACTGGACGGGCAGACACAGGACATTTCCTTCATTACGGGAAGCTCTCTGGACATCCATGGCATAGAGCCAGGCTCAGCAAACTTTCCTTTATGTTTTGTGGGACATATGGTCCCTGAATAACTACTCAACTCTGCCACTTAACTCAAAAGCAATCATAATAAACCTGTAAACTAATGAGCATGGATGTGTTACAATAAAATTTTATTTATATTGGGTAGTGGGCCAGAATTGACCTATGGACCACAGTTTGTGAACCCTTGGACTAGAAATCTCCTCCCAACTCTGCTTGTTTAGTTACCACTTATCTCTGAAGCCCTAGCCCAAATACCAAACGTCTCCATCCCCTCCATTAGAGGCAGTCACGCTCTCCTCTGCATCACAGCGTCTGCACTTCTATTATTACCCATCACAATCTACCTTGCAGTGCTCTTAACCTGAGCCACAGACAGATACATGTATTAGAAACCACCAGGCATTCTTCAAGGGCAAAGATAAAATTACGTTCTTTGTAGTGTCTGAGTAAGCATTCAAGCATATAGCCTCACTGTTACTGTTCTGTTTATGAAAAGCAAACCGAATTCCACCTCATTCTGAGATGTTCAATTTAAAATACATTGTTACATTTCCTTCTAAAAAGGATATTACATCAAAATGTGGCTCCATGAGAAAACCATAATTATCTAAACTCTTATTATTCTTTTCACAAATTACTAGATTTAAATATCTATTTATATCACCTTTAACATGAATTTTTTACAAAAATAAAATATTTACATACTGATGCAATTACACAAATGAAAAATTATTTACATAAGGAAATTAGTATAGACACAAAATTCTCTACCTGAGTAAAATAATTTCACAGCTAAAATGGCAAAACTATGAATGGTTGATTCAGAAACAGTTGGTAGGACTAGTAGGGGAGAAGTGTAGTTTAAACATAAAATTAAAAATCTTGTTTTCTTAAGCTTCAAAGGAAGATAGAGGAAAAGTTTTGACCCAAGTGTTCTGTTGATTAAGAGGAGTTGACTGCACCATTTACAGTTATCACTAATTTATGTTATATCCAATACCCCAGTGAAATAAATCCGTTATAATGTAAAACTGAGGGTTTTTAAAATTAACCACACCCAAGCATTACTAAAAATTACAGCTACGGTCAAATTCAAAGTTGGTGATAATGACACATTTGGGATAATCAATAGAATATTCTCCTGGATTCTCATGCCTATGAGATTAAATTATGAGTTTATTCCACTCTCTTACTAGCAAATTCTCCCTATAACATTGTCAAAGTGACACCACTGGTAAGTGTAAACAATTATCTTGTAGAAAAATTCAAATATAAACTCCTATACCAAGGTCATTTGCTACATGAACAATATAATAATACTAAATATTAATAATACACAAATAAGAATAAACAAAATAATGAGGGTAAAATAAACAATACTTTACTTAATTACGGAAGCTGTAGGTGAAGTCTCAGCTATCTTTTCATCTTCCCCTTGAGAACCACTAAATTCAGAATCCTGAAACCGCTTTCCAATCTTTGGCCGCTTCAGATGACTACTTCGAGTCCGAGTGGAAACTGGTGTTTTATCATTACCTAAGAAAAAACAGCAGCCATGCAAGAACTATGCTAGTTTATATATATCCCCACCATTACACACTACCTTTCTCTCATATCAGACTTTGTTAATATTCATTTCTCACATTTCCATGTTATCTTGAGTTTTACAAAGTATTTTTGCATTTTCATTTATATTCTCTCCCAATAATCTTTGCCAACCTTATGACATAGTGTAATTTTAATATATTCTCCCTACATGATACATGGAAAATTATTTGGCTTAATATTAAAATAAAACATTAGTTGCACTGCATATGTGGGAAGATTAGATTTTTCTACTTTTCCTGGTTTCATGATATCTGACCAAAACGAAATGAATCTGAGTATGACTGGGGAATTTGGACTGCAATATAACAGAAATGGGGTCTGTTTAATCTTGGGAAATAAACAAGGCAGATGTTACTGTCTGTATTTTACAGGTAAGAAAATGAGGAAGAGAGGTACTATAGCTCACTCTGTTCGCACAGCAAAATCAGTGGAAGTGGTGGCATTAGACCCAGAAGTAGACTTTAGAGCTGGGTAAGTCTTCACTTGCTCTAAGGAACACACACACACACACACACACACACACACACACACACACGCACACGCACACCTAATTCTAAGTGTCTCAAACACTTTCTAATAGATCGGCTGAATTTCTTACCTTCAGAAGTGCTTGCAAAGGCATCTTTTAGAGAATCAATCTAAAATAGAGATACAGATTAAAACCAAATGTTGTAGATTATTTTTTCTCCCTGTGGATCTACTTTATTCAGTGTCAAAGAAAATCTTTAAAACATTTTCAAATAGCACTTTTTGTACTCACTATTCAATTAAAACTTACGTAAGAAATAAAAAGGCTGCCAAACCGGTTTGGCTCAGTGGATAGAGCGTTGGCCTGCGGACTGAAAGGTCCCAGGTTCGATTCCGGTCAAGGGCATGTACCTTGGTTGCGGGCACATCCCCAGTAGGAGGTGTGCAGGAGGCAGCTGGTCGATGTTTCTCTCTCATCGATGTTTCTAACTCTCTATCCCTCTCCCTTCCTCTCTGTAAAAAAATCAATAAAATATATTTTTAAAAAAAAAGAAATAAAAAGGCTATGTTACAGCCCAGTTTATTATGAGCCTAAGAACTTATCAAGCCATCTCATGTCTTAGTGGTAAGCACTGGAGTTTCCAGTATTGTCTTCAGCTACCTTCTCTTTTCAATCCATGCTTTCCCTTTGTCATTTTATCTACTACCTTCACTTCAATATCTATACAAGTTAATTCCCCCAACTTCCAAAGCTCTATTTCTAATAAGATATCTCCCCAGTGGATGTTCCATCTAATTTCACATCCAACCTGTCTCAAACTGAACAATATCATTTTAATAATCTTTTCCCAATAGTATTCCCTATCTTGGTTAAGTGACAGTAATAATTCAGTCTAACCAGAATGGCTGTGAGTCAGTAATGACTTCTTCCTATCCCTCATTCAATCAACCACAAAGCCTGTCAATTCTGACTTTAAGAATCTCTCAAAACTGCCCCCTCCTTTATATTGCCAATGCTTTAGTTCAGGCCTTTCTCATCTTCACCATGAACTGTTCTAATAGCCTCCTCGCTGGCATCCCTCACTCTAGCCACACACCCGTAATCCTCTCCACCCTGATGACAGTGGTGCTTCCCATCTGCAAATTGTGCTACTCCTTTGCATTACAAAAAAAAAAAAATGTAAGTTTATCGCTACCTGAAATACAAACTCCAAACTTTTCCAATACCAAATGCTCTTCCATACCAAACATGCCATTTTCTTTCACGCCTCTGTGTTTTCATACATGCCATCCCTTGGAATGCCCTAGCAACATTTGGCACAGAACTCCCACACACCTTTTAAAGGTCATCTCAACTCTACTTCACCAATTCCAGTCCCTGCATAGAGTTAGTCATACATTCTCTTTCATGTACCTGCAATCACTTGCTGTATGTATGCTCTATTAAGGCCATTATTATCCTATAGTGTAATTGTTCACTTATCTGTTCTAATAATGGACCACCTGCTTTTCCCAGGCTTAACAGACCCATAATTTGTATGCCCAGCACTTGCCAAGGTACCCACTTTACTATATAAACTGCTATCCAGTCACACAGTTATCAAAACTCTACAATATTATAGGCACCTACACTTCAAGGTGTGTTTATAGGACACACACAAGGGAACAATTGTGATGGATAAGATAAAGATCCTGTGTTCGAGAAGCCTATAGTTCAACTAGACAAGGTTAAGACATAGATAAAGATGAATAAATAAAAGGTACAAAAAGTGAAGTACATGTAATGTTTTCTGTCCAAAAATAGGAAAAAGAAAATAGAAATACCATCATCTAAAGAATAAATCATGTAGTGATAATCATTTCACAATGTATATGTATATCAAAACAAAGTTGGACACCCTAAAGATATACAATTATTTGTCAATACCACCTCAATAAAGCTAAAAAATACATCATGTAGTAAAAATAAACAAATAAAACTACTTCCCCATGTGGTTACTGATAAAAAGTGAGATGTAATAAATAGCTTAATATGAGAAATATTTTCCTTGAATTATTAAACTATTACTATAAAGAATATGAAGTTCTAAAATAAAAAAGTCTAATTCATGCTGCCAACCTTGACCTAGTGTAATTTTAATATATTCTCACTAAATGACACATTGAAAATTATTTGCTTAATATTAAAATAAATAATTAATATCACTGCATATATGGGAATATTAGATTTTTCTACTTTTCCTGGTTTCATGATATCTGACCAAAACTAAGTGAATCTGAGTATAACTGAGGAATTTAGACTGCAATGTAATAGAATTGGGGCTTATTCTAAAGTCTGAAGTTCCAAATGTAGAAAAAAATTTAAAAACTCTAATTCTTTATATATAGTTATTATTTATATTATCCTTAAAAACACTTTGAAATTCTTCACTTATGCTAATTAAAACAGGAAATAAGAGGAACAAATAATTCCCCAAAGCATGTGTCTCTGAAATGCACCTGACTTTACATAGGCAAACTCAACACTCACAAAAGATATATCAGATACCGTGTACAAAACAAATATAACTGTAATAAGCGCCACCACAAAAAAACACTACATAAAACAGACTTCTAGAATCCCATCGATGGACCCATATTTTAACTAATACCAAGTAAATTCTAGGAAAGTAGAAAGCCACAGTAATGGAAATTGCCCTTCTAATTTCAGGTTACCTAGTATTTGCAAAGTGCATTTCATTCTACAAAGGCCTAGCATACACTTATTGAAACTTAGCCTCACAGTTACCACAATAACTTCATAACCTTTGGCCTACTACTTATTCCACTTCTAGAAACCTATCTGTGCAAGGAAATAATAACATATGCACAATGATGTGTACATACTATATAATAAAACCCTAATATGTAAATCAACCGAACAGCCTAACAACCGGTTGCTATAATGCACACTGGCCACCAGGGGGGCAGATGTTCAACACAGGAGCTGCCCCCTGGTGGTCAGTGCGCTCCCACAGGGGGAGTGCTGCTCAACCATAAGCCAGGGTCATGGCTGGCGAATGCAGCAGTGGTGGTGGGAACCTCTCCTGCCTCCATGGCAGCACTAAGGACCCGTAGGGTGATGTCTGACTGCCCCTAAGCTGGCACGCAGACATCCCCCGAGGGGTCCCGGACTGCGAAGAGGGCGCAGGCCAGGCTAAGGGACCTCCCCCCCGGCAGTGTGTGAATGTCATGCACCAGGCCTCTAGTTACATTATAAATGTAAAACTTAGTATGTTAAGGAAATAAATGATGGCATCTATAATAATAAAAGCATAATATGCTAATTAAACCGGACAGCCAAACGACCTTCCGGACGTCCTTCCGAATGACCTTCCAGACAAAACCAGGGCTGCGAGGGCCAAGGCAAGCCGCCTTGGCTGTGAGGGCTGAGCCCCTTGCACAAATTTCGTGCATCCGGCCTCTAGTTTACATATAATAGGCTAGTGTGCTGCTGTTTAACAATCATATTTAAAAACAGTAGAAAAATAGTGCCATGAAAAATGCTTAACATGTTATGTTATGCACCCTTGTAGCCTCCAAAAAAATGTTGTGAGAAAAGCAGTTAGAATTAGCATAAAAGAAAACAGAAATAAAATGTATGCAGGTACATGTATATTATATGCAAGATATTAACAGTTGCTATCACTGGAGAAGTGGGATTACAGATTTTCATTTTCTTCTATATTATTTTATGTGAATTCCAAATTATTTTTCAAAGAAAATTAAGTCCTTAGTAACCAATTAAGAGATACCAGAAAACAAATACAGTAGAAATTACATAAGTCTGTTGAATGAACAATAACATTTAAAAATTTAAATATTCACTGAATCTATTTTAAAGAAACAAAAATTATTTCCTACAATAAATATACAGTGTACCTACAGTTAGCTGCATTTCACTAGACTGACTATCTTCAGTTCCTGCTTCATATTCTGGAACAGATGCGAGACCATATCCTCCAGACGTAGTTCTTTTAGCTTCATTTGGAGGAACTACTGTGTGTAGAAGAATTTTACAAATTGTAACCCAATCAGTATTCGGTTTTAATAACATTGTTCTGACTTTCATAAAAGCCCTACAGAGCAGCATGAATAGAAGGGTATTGAAAATCTAGGTGTAGGATATCCCCTTCACCCCTATCTATCCTATCTAATAAAAGACAAAAAGGGTAATTGACCGTACCTTTGCTACGCTTCCCATTGGCTAATCAGGGAGATATGCAAATTAACTGCCAACTAAGATGGCGGCCGGCAGCCACGCAGCTGAAGCGAGCAGGAGGCTTGCTTGCTCCAGTGATGGAGGAAGCCAAGGTTCCCCGCCTGCCACGGCCCGGCTCTGAGCTCCGAAAGCAACAACGTTTCAATTATAGAAGCTAAACAAACCCCAGATACCTGCTTTCAGCAGGCCGTAGCCACGGAGCTCTCAGCTCCAGTGACGGCAACAAAGTTTCAATTATAGAAGGTAAATAAATCTCAGAATAAAAAAAGAAAATAAAAAAAGGAGAGGCTGGGAGCTTCAGTCGCCGGCCAGCCTGAAAATGGCCCTCAGCCCTCACCCAGACTGGCCAGGCACCCCAGTGGGGACCCCCACCCTAAAGGGGGCTTGGTCAGTCTGAAAACAGCCATCAGCCCCTCATCCAGGCTGGCCAGGCACCCCAGTGGGGACCACCACCCTAAAGGGGGTGCAGGCAGACTGAAAACAGCCATCAGCCCCTCATCCAGGCTGGCCAGGCACCCCAGTGGGGACCACCACCCTAAAGGGGGTGCCCCTGGTGGTCAGTGCACACCATAGCGACTGGTTGACCAGTCATTCTGGTTGTTCTGCCATTTGGTTGCTGGGCTTTTATATATATATATATATATATATATATATATATATATATATATATATATATATATATATATATATATATATATATATATATATATATATATATATATATATATATATATATATATATATATATATATATATATATATATATATATATATATATATATATATATATATATATATATATATATATATATATATATATATATATATATATATATATATATATATATATATATATATATATATATATATATATATATATATATATATATATATATATATATATATATATATATATATATATATATATATATATATATATATATATATATATATATATATATATATATATATATATATATATATATATATATATATATATATATATATATATATATATATATATATATATATATATATATATATATATATATATATATATATATATATATATATATATATATATATATATATATATATATATATATATATAAAAGCCCAGCAACCAAATGGCAGAACAACCAGAATGACTGGTCAACCAGTCGCTATGGTGTGCACTGACCACCAGGGGGCAGACACTCAATGCAGGAACTGCCCCTTGGTGGTCAATGCACTCCCACAGTGGGAGTGCCGCTTGGCTGACCGGGATGAGTGGCGCTCCCACAGCGGGCTGATCCCTGCAGGCCACACCCCTCATCAGTGCACAAATCTGTGCACCAGGCCTCTAGTCTTATAATAAAACCTTTCAATTATAAAGAGTCTTAAATAATCATCTGTATTTTGTGACTTTGAGGAGAGATACATGAGACTGTGGACTATCTTTGATCTCCTGATGCCTATTCTATACTGTTTCAGTATCTCTGTTTATTTCGTACACACCAATTATTACATTCTGCTGGGCTATTCTTAGTGACTCAAATGTTAATATTAACACATAACAAAAAATCATACTTTAGGAAAGAGGGTCTGTTACTAGAGAGATCACATCACAGCACACCACTGCTCTGGAGTACAGGGCACCATCACCATCAGGCACTGCTATTTTTAAGTGGGACATGTGTTCAAACTAAAACATTCTTACCTGTAATTTTAAGTGTTTCTCTCTGTAATGCTCTGGTGACAGGTATTCTCTGGTACCAGTGTCCAACACCTTCAACTTCCCAAAGGAGTTCATGGTCTCCTGGATACTTTTCAAAGTATTGCTTGCAAGCTGAAAAACACATTTAGAATTTTCTAGAAATCCAAAATATCAATTATTTTAGAAAACAGAAAGATAGAAAGCTGCCAACTCACTTAATGGGCTAGCATAACTTTTTGATACCAAAACACCAAAGCAACTCAAGAAAATTATACAGTCATCTCATTTACATAAAAATTCTAAATGAAATTCCATATTAAAGTTTTAATGTGGCCGAAACCGGTTTGGCTCAGTGGATAGAGCGTCGGCCTGCGGACTGAAGGGTCCCAGGTTCGATTCCGGTCAAGGGCATGTACCTGGGTTGCGGGCACATCCCCAGTGGGAGATGTGCAGGAGGCGGCTGATCGATGTTTCTCTCTCATCGATGTTTCTGACTCTCTATCTCTCTCCCTTCCTCTCTGTAAAAAAAAAAAATCAAAAAAAAAAAAAAGTTTTAATGTGATCAAGCAATAAAAATCCAAATAAAAGATGTGTTTAACCTTTAAAAAGAAAATTGTTAAATTTTATTGAGGGACATAAAAGAAGAACTAAATAAAAGGATTGTTAGATTCAATAGTGTAAAAACACTAATTCTCTCCAAATTATTTTGTAAACTTGATGCAATCCTAAACAAAATCCCAACAGTTTCTTTTTAATGGAACTTTACAAAACTTGGTCCTAAATTCAAAATGAAAGAACAAAGAGTAAAGTATTGAGGAATTCTTCCTATAGTGGATGTATTTCCATTCCTCCCCAAATTTAGTAAAGCAATAATCTATGTTCAAATTATCAAAGGGTATACAAGGATTCATTTCATTCACATGTATGGGTCTAGAGAAAAAGTATAATTCAAAATGGGGTTGCAACATTTGGTTCTTGTTTTCTAGATTTTTAATATTAAAAAAAGAGAGGAAACCTAGAAAATATATTTTTAATGAAAATAAACATCTGATAGTAAATTATATTTTATTGAAGTTTTCAAATAAATTACTTTCCAGGATTAAATCTTACTACATTAAGAAAAAACAGTTGTTTGGCCTTTATACAAATGCGAATATAAATCCACTAATAGTTTTTAAAACATCACCACATAGTACAGCCATACAATGGAATACTAAACAGCACTGAAAATGAATAGAGCTATGTAAATCCACATGAATGAATCTAATAAACATAAAGATGAGTAAAGAAAGCAAACTAAAGAAGAATTCATACAGTACCTTTCATTTATATAAAGTTTTAAAATATTAAAAATAATATGACATATTATTGGAGGATGTACATATATATATCTTAAAAGTCTAAGAAATGCATGAAGAAAAATGCCAAATTGAGGACAATGCTTATTTCAGGGAAGGGAGTAAGCTAATTAGGTAGGAGTGCAATTGTATTGGCAAAGGATCCATTTCTCATAGATGGTACATGCTAGTGGTACATAAATATTTACCTTACTTTTTATACTTTCGTATATGTCTGAGGTTTCTTTCTTTCTTTCTTTTTTAATTTAAAAGCTACCACAGACAAATAACCCCCCAAAAAGTGGTCAAATAATCTAAATAGATATTTCTCCAAAGAAGACATACAAATGGCCAATAAGCACATGAAAAGATGTTCAACATCAAATACAATTCAAAACTACTAGAGGCCACTTCGCACCCACTCAGATGACTATTACAAAAAAGGCAGATAAGCCCTAGCAGCTAGTGTTTTAGTGTTTACTAGGTAATGGAGAAATTGGGGAATGGACGGTGCCTGGGTTTGTTTACTGGTCAAGGGCACATGCCTGGGGTGGAGGTTCAATCCTCAGCCCCCATCAGGGCGCATGCAGGAAGCAACCAATATATGTGTCTCTCTCTCATCAATGTTTCTCCTATCTCTCTCTTTCTCTCTTCCCCCTTCCCACCCTCCCTTCCACTCTCTCTAAAAACCAATGAAAAAAATATCCTTGGGTGAGGATTAACATTTTAAAAAGGTGAATTTTATGGTATATAAGTTAAAGCTCTACCTGACCAGTGTGGCTTAGTGGTTGAGTCTTGACCTATGAACCAGGAAGTAATGGTTCCATTCCCGGTGAGGGCACATGCCTGGGTTGTGGGCTGGATCCCCAGTAGGGGGTGTGCAGGAGGCAGCTGATCAATGATTCTCTCTCATCATTGATGTTTCTCTCTCTCCCCCTCTCCCACTCAGAAATCAATAAAAAAAATATTTAAAACAAACAAAAACAAAACAGTTTAAAAAAATTAAAGTTCATATCTTTTAAAAAGCTACCATACCCCATATATATATATATATAGTGAGATAAGGACACATTTGCAAAATTAGGCCCTAGGGCAGTGATGGCGAACCTATGACGCGTGTCAGAGGTGACACGCGAACTCATTTTTTTGGTTGATTTTTCTTTGTTAAATGGCATTTAAATATATAAAATAAATATCAAAAATATAAATCTTTGTTTTACTATGGTTGCAAAGATCAAAAAATTTCTATATGTGACACGGCACCAGAATTAAGTTAGGGTTTTTCAAAATGCTGACATGCCGAGCTCAAAAGGTTCGCCATCACTGGCCTAGGGTATCAAAGAATCAAAATTTATTTAATATTGTTACATGCACATTTACAATATTCTGCAGAAACTAGTCAGAGACAAGTTTAACATTTTTCACTTATTCCATTTACCTGTGTACATTATAGAGGACAGTGGATACCGCAAGCCAAGTGCATCTTCTGTAAAGGAATCAACGAAGTCCTCCAGCATATGAAGCCCAAAATCTTTGCCTCGATAGTTCTTTCTTATAAACATTGTATCAAGAACTGGCAGTTGGTAGCTTTGGGTAAGAAATGAGGCACATATGCTTCCTACAATCATAAGAACAGAAAGCCAACAATTTTTCACACTGAAAGACCTATATGTTTATACTTTTAGAAAACATGAGTTAACAGTCTTTCTAAAAATGGTTTTTCAGTGGATATAAACGGAGTGCTATCCCAAAAAGTTCCCTCCATCCCTTTTACGGCCAATCCATCCCTCCCGGGTCTCTGTTTGATTTCTGCCACTACAACTTTGCTTTTACTTTTCTAGACTAACATAAATGGACTCATACAGTATGTTTTCTTCGTGTCTGGTTTCTTTCTCCCAACACAATGATTTTGAAATTGAGTACATGCTATGTCTCTCAGTACTTAATAGTATGCATGATATGGGTTAACTGAAATCCATTTATTTACTATTTTTAAAATTTATTTTTGTTGTTGAGGTTATTACAGATGCCCCCCATTTCCTCTCCCTTTGCCCACCTTGGCCTGGCTCCTGCCATTTGGGTTGTTTAGAATTTGGGGGGCTATAAATAAAGCTGTTTTGATAATCTCTTTTTAAAAATTTTTAAAGGGAGTGCTATAATAACACTAACAAAAAGTAACCTCACAGGGTGATCTGATCAAAAATTCCAAACTGGGCAGGTCATGGTGGGTAGTCACACCCCAGGCATATAACTTCTCTAGTGAGAGGTCTATCTTTGCCTTAAGCAAGCTCTGTCCATCGTATTTTGCGCATCTATATTAACATACCTTTGAAATGCTCATTTTCAGAACCCTTAGAAGCCTAGCTACCCTCAAAAGAACACATAGTCTTAACTAGCCTATAACTCACTCCCCAACTTGTTTTTCATGTAATCTTCCTTATATTCCCTCCTTAATCCAAATGCATGAAAGAAGCTGAAAACTATCATTCTGGGAAGCATTATTTTTTGTTGAGATCTTGCTTCCCAGCACTGTCATCAGTTTGGAAAATAATGCAATAATTAGTAAATTATAATACAAGAATAAACTGTTTCATGTACTCACAACTGTAAGCCTACTTTGGCTCCACCTTGCATATTCATTTCAAAAAACCATGCTGATTCTCTTCCTTGCCTACACCTTAAATAGTTATACTTTGTATAAGGGTTATACGAAGGCAAACAAATAAAGGGCAGAAAAACTTCACGTTACCAGAGATCGTCAGACACGTCAATAGCTGCAGACAATAGCACAATTACCTAGTACAGCAAAACCACAACTGCTACCTTAGGTGAAGTCTTCATTACATTAAATTTATTGCACATGGTAATTAAATATTTATATTCCTGTAAGTTTCCTCTTTGACCACCTTCTCTTTCTATATGCTCTCTCTGGGTAATTTCACCTACTCCCAGGACTTCTACCATTTATCCAAATACTGATGTCCACTAACCTTTAATTTCTGTAATTCCTGAGATTTACTCCAATGGAAGACCTCATGTAAATGTACCAGTAAATAGTACAAAAACCACATGATCATTTCAATAAGTGGAGAAAAAGTATTTGATAACATCCAATGCCTTTCATGATAAAAATACTCAACATCCTCAACCTGATAAAGAGATTTATGAAAAACCCACAGCTAACAACACACTTAATGGTGAAAAACTGGATGTTTCCCCTATAAGATTAGGAACAAGACAAAAATGTTCACTCTCACCGCTTCTATTCAACATTGTACTAGAGGTTGGGTAATTAGTCAAGAAAATAAAATAGAAGGCACTAGGTTGGAAAGAAAAAAGTAAAATTATTTTTGCAGATGCCACAACCTTATATATAGAAAACCTTAAGTAATCCACTAAAAATTCATTAAAACCGACATATAAGTTTAGTAAGGTTGTAAGATCAACATGGAAAAATCAACTGTATTTCTATATACCAACAATGAACATTCTGAAAATGAAATTAAAATAACAGTTCCTGCCCACTGGTGTAGCTTAGTGGTTGAGTATTCACCCATGACCAGGAAGTAACGGTTACTCCAGGTCAGGGCACATGCCATGGTTTAGGGCTTGATCTCCAGCAGGGAGTATGCAGGAGGCAGCCGATCAATGATTCGCTCTCATCACTGATGTTTCTATCCCTCTCTGACATCAATAAAAAACATACTTTTTAAAAAAAAAAAAAAAGATAATTCCATTTACAATAGCATCAACAATAAAATTCTTACGAGTAAATTTAACAAAAGAAGTGTAAAACTTGTAAACTTAGAAGTATATACAATGTTAAAAGAAATTAATGAGCACCTAAATAAATGGCAAAAACATCTCATGTTCATGAATCAGAATACATAACACTGTTAAGATGTCAATACTCCCCAAATTGACATACAGACTCAAAATCCCAGCTGGATTTTTTTCCTGAAACTGAGAAGGTGATCCTAAAATTGATATGGAAATGCAAAGTACTACCACAGGAACTCAGGTTCCTTCTATCTGTGGCTTCCCCATCCCCTAGGTCCTCAGAATCCTTTACATTCAGCAGACAAATTATGAAAAGGAATGCATCTTAACCACTTTGACCTGATGTCATAAATATCATTTCTTTAATTACTTTGGGGAGAACTAATCACACAGCCCCACCCAACTGTGCAAGTGACTGGAAAATATAATCTCTGACTGGGCAGCTGCTGACCAATGACTAGAATATAGAAGAGAAAGCACAACTATTTGGTTAGCTAGCAGCCTCAGCTAACTTTCCTCTTCTTTTTATCTCCCAACAGACTAACACTTCCTTTTGAACTTAGTATATGTGCTGCAGGAGTGAACACACCTCCTTTTTAACTTTTAGGAAATCAATGATCACATCTGAGCAGGTAGTCCCTTTTGCTGGCAGACTCCCTCCACAGTTATGTTTGTTTGGTTGCCTCAGGCTGACTTCAGTAACTTACGTATATCCCCATGCCAGTATTCACAAACACACATACTCACTTGATACGGTTTTGACAGATCTCATCCTTATTTAAAAATGTGTTGACTTCTGTGGCCCACATAAACATCCACACCTCCCCCATGTGATCCGACTTACATTTCTAACTGTGTACTATCCCTACTTATGTGTTCCACAAGCACAATGAAGTTCACATGTCAAACTGAACTCAAGTATTACCAAATCCACTCTTCAGTATTCCCAATCTTAGTTCACAGTTTCCCACCTAAGCATCCAAGCCAAAACCCTCAAGATTCATCACTGGTTACTCTTCTATCCCTTCCCACACAGGCAATGGAGTCACCACACAAAAAGCTCCCTCAAATCGGTTTCCTTCTCTATCACTACTGCCACTTTCCTACTAGAAGTACTTCTTTCAGCTGGAGTACTAAGCAGCTCTTTTAATTGACTTCAGAATACAATACATATATGCCAAAGATCACACAACAAACTAGTGTATAAAACTATTTTTTAATAATCTGACATCTATCTAATCCAAAAAATAAATAAGTCCCTCACAGCAATCTCTTACTTCAAGCAAAAAAGAATTTATATAGTTTCTTAAATTTCACTGTACTGTAATAAGATTTAACCTCATAAACAAAGCCTCCTTTTTTATTCCAAGGCTATTTTTATATCCCAACTATTATCCCCATATACTGATTTGCTATTTAATTAAAAAATCGTAAGTAATAGCATAAGGCTTTCACTCAACTAGAACTGTATTTAATAAAGATTTTATCATTTTGCTGGTACAGTTCTTTTTCCTGATATGTATGTAGAAAATATTTCTATCACAAAGTGTTTTAGTATATGTTATGGGACGTTTTTCCAAAATATTTTATGTTTGGGTTTTCTTTGTATAAAAAAAAAATAGTTCCAGACTAAATTAACTGGTTACTGATTCAAAGGCTAGTATAGTATAAGCACAACTAATTCCATTATTATATGGTAGAGGAGAGCCAGAGTATAAAGCAAAAAAGAACAAAAATTAATAGTCAGGGTGTAAGGCAATTAACAGAGAAGCACCAGAGGATCATGGGTCCAATTCCCAGTCAAGAGCATGTACCTGGGTTGCAGGTTCTACCTCCTCGGTCTCTCTCTCTTTGTCTCCCCCCTCCCTCCCACTCTCTCTAAAATTCAATGGAGCCCGGCCGGAGTGACTCAGCGGTTGAGCATCACTCTATGAACCAAGAGGTCAGGTTTGATTTCCAGTCAGGGCACATATCCGGGTTGCGGGCTTGATCCCCACGGTGGGGCGTGCAGGAAGCAGCTAATCAATGGTTCTCTCTCATCACTGATGTTTCTATCTCTCTCTCCTTTTCCCTTCCTCTCTGAAATCAATAAAAAAATAAAATTAAAGTCAATGGAAAAAATAATCTTTGGATGAGGAATAACCAAAAAACAAACCAAAAAAAAAAAAAAAACCCAAAAACTTAACTACCAGAACAAGCAAAATAAAGGCCAGGTCTCAGAGGAGAGGAGGAACCCCAGATGCACATAAAATGAAGAGGAACACACTCCTGGAGTCAATACTGATCAGAAACACTAAAAGGGGAATGCTATGCCCATTAACTGTGTGTCTTTCATCTAAAGCAAACTCTAAACAAAAAAAGTATAAAGTAATATGTGATCAAAATATCTATGAGCTCATTTCAGATAGGAAAATCCCCTGGAGCCAGTGTGAAAAGGAAAAAGCCTCCAATTCCCTTAGGAATTATCGCATATAAAATAAAGCATAAAGAAATGAAAGCACACCTCAGCCATTTTAAAACATTTTAAAAACAACATGATGCCTTTTATGCAATGCAGCAGTAAGCTTCCATTTAATAGACATTATTCTGCCCCTATATAATGATATCTTTCTGGAGTTAAATGAATCATTGATTCTATTTCAAATGTATACAAGAAGAAAACAGAATATTAAAGGAGAACCAAAGTATTTACTAAACAACAAAACCATTTTAAACTCTAGATCAGAATATTTTATTCTTGAGAAAAAGTGACCTTCCTTTTATTGATGGTATGCATAATTCATGATATGTATTAACTATGTGATTAAGATATTGGTCATAACTGTTCTTCAAATCAGCAGTGAATTTGATATGATCATTACACTGGATCTGACCAGATGAGCTAAGTCTGGAAGGTTTGAAATGTAAAAATGACAGAAAAATAATATGAGCGTTCTCAGTGAAAGGTCTTTTGGTTAAAGTACAGAACAAGACCAACTTTGTTATTTGGTTATTTATTTACATGGAGTAAGCAGGTTAGATCTTTCTGGCTCCAGTACAACTAGAGAGCAAATGAACAGGAAAACAGGTAAAACAAGATGAAGTTGCTCTAGTCGCTTAGGAGGAGGGTATATTTGGGTCTTAGGATCAGAAATCCAAACTTTAGAAGATTTCACAATTTCAAAGCTGTTTGGATTCTCTAAATACTATATACTGAAGTACTTTGTTTTTCATGGTAATTAACAAAGCTGCCTTTAATATGTCAGGCTAAATCAGCAGCACTGAGCAGAAAAGGGCTATGCATTTGATCCACAGGCAAAGAAGAATTAAATATTCCCCCCAAAATACTAAGTAAAATCACCTCAATTTGCACTCGAGATTCATTTAAAAGGGATGTTGATACAGTTGGGGTTTGAAAAGGAGGTTTCCATTATACACAGTTTAAATAACTTTTAAAGACTCACCTGTAGGCTTAACTGAATAAAACCCAATGGCCTCTCCTTTCTTCCACAGAATCTTAGCATAATCAGTACTGCTATGACACAGGAATGGGATCTCATTTCTCTCCATTTCCTGTTTTCTATAAATAATTCGATTCAGAACATACAGAACCACTCTCTCCCCAAGAGTTCTCACCTACAAAGAGAGTCAAACACCAGGCACAACAGTTATAATATGCATCACTGAGAGATGCTGTTTACCTTGCTCCCTGCTTCGTACCGGCATTCGAAGCACTTTGAATGCGTTCAAAATGATCTGTAAAACATTTTATTATCACAAAGGCAAGGCTAATCATTCATACCAATAACAATCCATTTCTACACACATATTATGCATGAATACTGCCTCTCAACAGAATTCTAAAACTGGCAAAATGAGTTTCCAGTGCACCAATCCCCAGCATCTCCTAGTTAGCAGTGTTTTCTTTCTGCTTCCAGCTGCCCATACCAGGGGTCTCAGCCACCCTAATTGTTGCCTCCACCACTTCTACTGCTTCAACCCTTTTCACCCCATTTCAGCTTCCACATTAAAAAAATAATAATAAGGGGGAGGGAGGCTTCATGTTATCCCCTGAAGATTTTAAGACCAATTACCTCATTTGATGAGCAAAGACATAATAATGCTCCTGGGAAAGGAATTTGTCTCACACTTTCCAGGTAAAATGTTCATTTAACAGTTGTGTTTTTGTTGTCTAATTATAAGGAATACCCCCCTGCCCCTTCGGCCACACACACACATATACAGACCAGATGAGGGATGATAGTGGCACCAGGGAAGTCTAGTGAAAACATACTTGAGGTAACCACAGAATGGAAACTGAGCCTCACTTCTTACAGGCAGGGCTATATGGTCACCAGGACCCCCCTTACCAACTTTCTGGCATCAAACAGTGGGGATTTCCCAACAGACACCTTTCACTGCTAAAAATAAGAATTCTATCCATAAAGACTCCTTAAAGAAAAACAAGAGTGCCTTCTAATTAAATAAGTGGAGAGAGAAAACATTAACATACACTCTACTCTCAAAAACACCCCTAGTGGGAGATCACCAATGCATGACATGACAAAGTTTGTTAGCTTGCAAAGTAGGGAACCTTTTTTCGGCCACAGGCCATTTGGATATTTGCAACATCATTTGAGGGCCATACAAAATTATCAACTTAAATATCAGCCTGCTATATTTGGTCAAACATTTAATTAACTCACTCCCAATGCCTTGGCAGGGCCAGACCACATGATTTCACAGGCCTTTAAGGCAATCTTTTACTCCCTTGAACAGCTCTGATCAGCATAAAATTCTTCCTTAGACTGAGCTAAAATTTATTTCCCAAAGGTATTCTGGAGCCACACAGCCTACAAATATCTGAAGACAACTGTAAGATTCCCCTACATTCCATACCAACTCTAAACAATTGAAGGAAAAGACTAATGCAACTTGGGGTGCTTTTGCCATTCCTGTCCTCCTCCTTGAAATTGCTCCAATCACCTAATATCTGTCTTCATGATGGGCATGCAGATACTACAGATATAAACATTAAAGATATTGCTAGGACAGTGGGGCTTTTCTGCATAAACTTAAGGTTTTTAAATTAGCTTTTTTACCTACCTTCATTTGCTTCTAATTAACACCCACTCTTTTTCCTATGTGCTGCTGTTTCAGTTTGGTCCTCATGGTATATATGGTGCAGTTAATTTTTTGAACCTATGGGTACTACTCTACATTTATCCCTATTTATTTTCATCATGTTAGATCTTTCCTTTTTTTCTTAATTCTGCCTTTCACAGATTGGTTCTCCCATTCGCACTGTGGCATGCAGAATGGACATGCATGCCATCTATGTCTTCCTCTAAGTATTTTATGAAACTCAGTGATTAGGACAGAAAAACAAAACAAAACAAAGTTTTGCAGTATGCTGCTGAGAACCCCCCAAAAATGGCCCTATTGATAAGCAAGTTTCCTTCCTGGTCAGTGTCTCCTAGAGACAGAGAATCTAAGCAACCTCACACAGAGAAGAACTAGCTTTATCTCTACCTAACAAGGAAATCAGAAGCTGAAGTTGATATGGGTCACTACAGTTCAACTAACCCATAAGCATTCAATCTTCCTCACCCAATTCTCACATACCTTTAGCACAATGAAACTCTAAGGGTTTAATAAAACCTGGTTACAATAAAATGGAGAAGAGCTCAATAACTTCAAAAAGTATCACTGTTTATAGGAAACATAACTGTGAAATGGCCTAAGAAAGAAACTTTTAAAATTACAAGATCATATTACCTGCTTAAGCCCCTCTCTAGAAGGGACAGATGTTTTTACGATATCATCAACAGCCCACCACTGATCAGCCAGATAAAGTGCCACAGCTAAAATAGAATAAATGATTAACATTTAAGTCTTAAGTCTTACAGTGTATAACATTACTATTTGGTAAGGTTATATAGATACCCTTAAGCATACCCATACTTTTATAATACAATGTGGCCCCATTTACACTATTTTTATTTCACTCATTAAACATTTAATAGTAAGCAATTAAGAATTATATTTTCCTAAGTTTAAGTTTGAAACACGTTTTCTTTCTTTTTTTCAATTCCTTCATGTAACTACCTTTTAATAAATTTCTAACTGTTTGGAGAAAAACTCCTCAATTTTAAAGATTAAGCAAAAAAGAGACCTGTGAGTGAGTCCTCAGGTGAAAAAAGAGCAAGAATTTTCTGGGTCTGATCTCCACCATAAAGAGGTACAAAGCCTACATTTGACAGGCTAATAGGAATCTGAAATGACAATTGATTAAAAATTAGTGAAGAGTCTGTGAAGAAAATATCGCACAAAAACACCAAGATTCTACCAAAATATTAACTCTTTCTACATTAATGCTAATTATATACCTTCATTTCATATACAATATTTCTAGTCTCAAAAAAAAAAAAAAAGTAGCCCTAGCTGGTTTGGCTCAGTGGATAGAGCATCAGCCTACAGACTGAAGGGTCCCGGGTTCGAATCCAGTCAAGGGCACATGACTAGGTTATGAGCCCGATCCCCAGTAGGGGGCGAGCAGGAGGCAGCCAATCAATGATTCTCTCTCATTGATGTTTCTATCTCTCTCTCCTTCTCCCTTCCTCCCTGAAACAATAAAAATATATATATTTTTAAAAAGTAAATCAGAATTCCCTTTTGTGGGAAGTTTATTATCTTGCGGAGGGGGGGGGGGAGAAAGTTTATTTCAATAAATATTACTGTGTTCTAGCCAAAAATCTAAATAAAAACAAAAGAAAGATATGGTCCATAAAGTCACTAAAAAACAACTATAGTTTACATCTGTTATTTAGACTATTGGAGGGGACAGGATTCTATTTTCTAGTAAAAGACACCAGATAGGTAATTTTTTTAGAGAGACATACAATACTTTAAATTTTTTCTGCCTTCATTAATCCAATGCTAATTCCTCATTTACAGAAAATATTACAATTCAGAGAATTATAAAATACTGGTACTAGAGGAGACTTAAAGAATCCTTTAAATCAACAATTTTCCAGAAGAAAAATCTGAAGCCTAGATGTTAGAGAATTTGCCTACCATCAAGTTCACAGTGGAATTCTAACATATCACAGCTTACCAATTTGAAAGTTTTATTTTAATATTTTAGAAAAGGGGAGGTTTGTGACACAAAAAATGTATAATTTAGTGGTTTGCTGATATTTTTATTTTAAAAAATTCTTGTATCACAAACTCTAAATCTAAAGAAAATTTGAGTTAGCTCAAATATGGAAACCAGTCTTAGAAAAACTGATAAACTACTTAATTTTAAAGGCACAACACAAATATTAAGCAATAACCTGTAGAGTTTCTTTTTAAAACCTGATCATATTACTGTACTAACCAATCAATATTTATGCATTTTACTGATGTCTTCTCATACAAATTTTGAAAGTTTAGTTAACACTTTAAAATGATAAAAAATAAAAGGATATTAATTCCATGTATGAACTCAACTGAAAAGACTCATAAAAAGCACTGCAGAACACCTTACCGTTATATTGAGAAGAGAAAAACACTCAGGATTTTCAGGGTCCCCACACCTTAGATCTGACATATAATCTTCAGCAGAATTTTCCAGTTCCTCGTGACTGCAATTATCCAGCATATCCACAGGGAATGCCATCCTCTTTAACAAACAACATGGGACAAAAATGTTTCAGAATATGAAATGCTAGCTTCCTTTTCTCATAGAAAAACTTTATATTGTAATATTTTATTATAAAGAGTTCTTCACTATACCATGTCAGACTACAACTTGGCCTGCTGATTTAACAATGTACATCAAAAGGAAATTTTAAACATTAATCTGAATTAAAAATTAAAAATAAAATAGGAATTAATAGTAATTCTTTAAATGATATAAATGTATTTATACAGGTATAGGATTTACATATTTGCATATACGTACACCCACAAAAATACATCCTCATACACCTGCCAACATTATAAGTCACTATAAAAGGACAAAAGGGAACATTTTGGAATAGAAATGTTCTATAACTGCATCGTAGTGATGGCTGCTCCACTATATAAATTTACTAAAAAAAAAAAATTAATCACTGAATTATACAATAGCAATGGGTAAATGTTGCAATATGTAAATTCTACCTCTCATACATAGAGCTGTTTAAAAAAAAAAAAGCCAGCACTTTAGTGAGGAAACACTAAACACTTTCCCACTAAAGTCAGGAAAAATGACTCCACACTGTATAACATTATATAGGTACTTGCCAATGCAATTAGCCTAGAGACATAACAACTGGGTATGGGTGTATGTGGAAGGAACTATCTCTACCTCAATTTGCAAATAATATATTTAATTGAAAAACCCAAAAGAATCAATGGAAAAACTATTCCAAACAATAAGAAAATATACTAAAACAGGATATAGTTACACACAGAAATTAAGCCCTCATATATACAATAATAACCAGTGAAATCAGGAATGGAAAAAATGAAGTAAAAATAGGTAAAAGACCCCATTTACAGTGGATAGAGCATCAGCCTGGGGACCAAAGGGTCCAAGGTTCAATTCTGGTCAAGGGCATGTACCTCGTTTGCAGGCTCCTCCCCGGCCGGGCCCTGGTCAGGGCTCACACAGGAGGCAACCAATCTATGTGTTTCTCTCACATTAATGTTTCTCTGTCTTTCCCTCTCTCTTCCACTCTCTAAAAATCAATGGAAAAATGTCCTTGGGTGAGGATTAAAAAAAAAAAGTAAGCTAAGCAGAAATATGCATCTTAATGAGATACAAAAAGAAAAATCAAACCCAAATCTAATGAAGCCATCAACCATGTGAAATCACATCTTAAGTATACAGCCAGTCAATTTTAGAATAACCCAGTTTCTTCAATACGTATACAGCATGGAGTTTAAAGAGTGGGAACTATTGTAAATTAAAGGACACTTAAGAGACATAGCAATCAGATGCATTGTAGAGAGGATTCTGATTTGTGTACTCTTGAAAATTTCCATGATAAAAAGTTAAATAAAAAATAAACATATGCTCTAGTCTATATCAAAGTCTGAGCTATTTAGTTCTTAAAGGAGATATAAAGTAAAATAGGTTAACTTGTTATAAAAATTCCCTATTTCATATTTACCCAAAATAAAAATAGCAGAGCCCAACTGCTGTATTTGTCAATAATCTCTGCAATCTTGATTTAAAAAATAATAAAGGGAAAAGGCAGAAGAAAACTGAGAAAATAGAAATTACTTTTCTCTGAAGTAATTCTTCAGAGAAGCATTTTATCACATCAAATCTTTTTTATCACAACAAATACATCAGTAGGTAAAAAAGCTGAAAATCTAATGAAAATATGAGGTAAACATGTAAAAGACAGGACATATAACAGCTACATATAGTTAAATATATATATATATTTTTTTTAAATATATATTTTATTGATTTTTTACAGAGAGGAAGGGAGAGGTATAGAGAGCCAGAAACATCGATGAGAGAGAAACATCAATCAGCTACCTCCTGCACGCCCCCCACCTGGGGATGTCCTGCAACCAAGGTACATGCCCTTGACTGGAATCGAACCTGGGACCCTTGAGTCTGCAGGCCGATGCTCCATCCACCGAGCCAAACCAGTCCTGGCTATTTTTTAAAATTTATTTTTTAAATCTTCACGCAAGGATATGTTTTTACTGATTAATTTTAGAGAGCGAGGAAAGGGGGGGGAGGGGGAGAAACATCGATGTGTGAGACAAACATTGATCAGTTGCTTCCTGTACATGCCCGACCAAGGATCGAATCCACAACTTTTTGGTATACAGGACAATGCTCCAAACAACTGAACTACCTGGCTAGGGTTAAATATATTTTTCTGAATTTTCAAGATATGATGATAATGAGAAACTTATTTTTTACCATAATCTGAAATCCTGGTCCTAAGGACTTTAAAACGTGGTGTATATGATTGGGAACCTAATTTTATACAAATATATATTTTAATCAAATTGATTTTTAAATTTTTTAAAATAAAAACCTGGAAATAGAACACACAAAAACAGCCCATCTATTAGTAAATATAAATGTCTAAATAAAAGGAGAAAGTAAAAAAAATATATGAAACATTTATAAAAGCAATACCACAGGATTTCCAGGCAACTTATAAAAAGAAAAAGAAAAAAACAGCAACTATGAATTTCAAGAGAGATCAACCAGGAGCTTATGTAAATCAGATGTTATAGTTAGAAAAGTATCAAAATAAAACAGCAGAGCTCTATTATGAAGCTTATTTGTTATTTTGGGCAAATTTTTATATCTCTATTAAAGTCAATATTCAAAAGCAAACTGAGGAAATAGAACATTATGTTCTAGTCAGATCCAACAATTCTAATGAAGATTAAAATTTTAGATGAAACCAAAAACAAATGGTCAACAGCAGATGAAAAAAGCATAATTAGGACACTAGTTAACTGTTTTCTTCTCTTATAGACAACAAGATCCCAGCTTTGTGTCTAAGTAAAAATTAAGAGCATTAAATATACCCTACTATTGACTAGATGAAGCTCAAGAAGGATTAATATCACAGTATTCTCCTTAAACCAACTTGAAAGACTCTCTTGAATATTAGCTACCAAAACAAGGCAGGAATGAAACACATTTAAACATTTCATTTGCTAAGAGTAATCATGAGCTAAAGCAGGGGTGGGGAATCTTTTTCTGCCAAGGGCCATTTGGATATTTATAACGTCATACCTGGATCATACAAAATTATCAACTTAAAAATTAGCCTGCTATATTTGGTCAAACATTTAATTAACTCACCCCTAATGCCTTGGCAGGGTCAAACCAAATGATTTCAAGGGCCATATACCCCTGCCCTGAAGGATGAAATATAAATTAACATATGAGGGCTGCTGCCAAAAATTTGGTATACAAAAGCATTGTTGATTACAATCACATAAAGGTAATACGGCATTCTAGACAAAGAATACAAAATGGACATATAAGGAAAAGGAGCCTGATAGAATAGCAAATTGATGGGTCCTTTTCTTTTTCACCTACTGTTACCACAACATGGTCCTTAAAAGATTTTAAATACTATCATGTTTAAATAGCATTTTCTTTTTTTTTTTTAGTCTTATTTATTTTTTAGTTTTAGTTTTATTCATATTGAATAAAGAGCCTAGCAGTATAGCCCAGAATAAGGAATGGTTGTGAATAGTCAGGGGTGTCATGATTCCTCATCTAACATGCTTTAACTATGTCTGACCCGTCCTGCTAATTTGTGGCAGTGCGAGACTGGAACACAGGCCAGCTGTCCCTAAGCCATTGATCCTTCCTCTATCCCAGTGTTGGCTGAACTTCAATTATCTGCATACCACCATCAAAATGGTTCCAGTGTGTCAAGTGTCTATATCACTACTTCATATGTATGTTCCTCAATTCACTTTTTTAAATGCACACCTCTCATCCCATCCCCCCCTTTTTAATTTGGTAAAATCCTATATAATAAAAAGTTAATATGCAAATCGACCTAATGGCAGAATGACCAGTCACCTATGACATGCACTGACCACCAGGGGGCAGACGCTCAACACAGGAGCTGCCTCTGGTGGTCAGTGCTCTCACAGGGTGAGCACTGCTCAGCCAGAAGCCGAACTCACAGCTGGTGAGCACAGCAGCGGTGGCGGGAGCCTCTCCCGCCTCCGTGGCAGTGCCAAGGATGTCCGATTGACTGCGAGAGGGTGCAAGCCAGGGGGAGGGACCCCCCCCCGAGTGCACGAATTTTGTGCACCAGACCTCTAGTATACACATAACATTTACCATTTTAACCCTTTCTAAGTTTACAGGTCAGTGGCAGTAAGAATATTCACACTGTTATACAACCTTCACCACTCTCCCTTTCCAGAACTATGTACCCATTAAATAATTCCCCATTCCTATTCCCCCTAGTCCCTGATAACCACCATTCTTTCTGTATCCATCAATTTACCTATTCTAGGAATTTCATAAGTGTTATCACAATAATTGTCTTTTTTACTAGTATTTCTGCCTTATTTCACTTATTTCAAGCTTCATCCATGTTGTAGCCTATATCAGAATTTCAACTCACTTTAAAAAAAAATTTTCATTCACTTCAACCTACAAAACCACCAATTTGATATATTAGATAATACATTTTCCTAATCAGCCTTATGATTTCTATGTATCATAATTTAAATGTTCACCTGAATACAACTTAAAGCCCTCTCCTAAATCACCAGTAGTATGCCAGCACACTTTAGAAAACATTACTATCTATGGGATTGCTTACCATAAGACTAAAGGCAAATACAGTATGACTAAATTAATTAAAGTGTAAAACAAAAATTCATTATCTTTCATTCTTAAACATTCTTATACTGAGACTTTTGAATAGAAAAATAATCACTTCTAGGTTTATTTAGTCA